GTGAATTCCCTGGGGGAACTGGAAGTAAATAGGCTAGCACAGTTTCTTTATAACATGGGAGTATCTTGATTAGAAAAAAAATAGACTCAACTCCCAAATGCACTGACTTCAAGAAGCTTCTCGGCAGTCAAGTAAATATGTTTAACAGAGCCTCTCTGCAAAGTTCTGTGTTGATATCGTTTAGTTAAAAACTTATTTCAGTCAAGACAACTCTCCCCTCCGCCCCTTTCCCTTAGGTACAGGGCTCTGGACTGGTTACCTTGGATGTTGTCCTACCTTCTGTGTCACTTCTGGAATCATATTTTATTCCCTTACTCTGCCTTTAACCTATCCACATGCAGCATACCAATTACTTCATATTTCAAAAATCTGTTCTTCGGGAATGTTTCACCATAGAGAAAGTGAGTTTTGCCAGCATTCATGCGAGTTTTGGGTGAGCCTGACACTCTGCTCAAGGTTACAAACTCTTGCAAAAGCAAAGCTTATGCTTTTTGAATCATGAAGTCCTTCATAAATGGTTCAGCTGGAATCTAACAAAAGCCTCAGCTTCAGGAATCATAGGAGTGATTTATTTACCTAAATAAAATAATCTTTTTAAAAAAATTCTGATTTGAAATAATTTAAAGAGATCTGTTTTTCTGGCTTCTGGAAAATGAGGACTTGAGTATATTCAGCTGGTTAGCCAAAAGCCAAGATATAAAAAAAAATACTGAAAATTCTTCATCTTTTAAAAATTAATAGAAATGTTCACTAGTATGTATGAGTCTGAAACACAGACTTGATTTCAAAACTTTAAAATTTCAAATTTCGCAGTTTAGTTCATATCTGTGTTATTTCCAAGGTAATTTCTTTTCTGAAAATCAGGACAAATTGAAAGTTATGCATTCTGCAAAATGACGTTTCAAATTAATTATCTAAAGTTTTTCAGTAATCACTGAATTCAAATCTGGAGGTTTCTTTCAGTTCCATTTCTACCTTGTTGGTATATTAGAATTGAATATGGTTGCTTGGAAGTACAGAAATAATTGTGTTAGTGAGAAAGCAGCAAAGCAAAAGAGTACATTTTCCTCTTATAACTAAAGATAAAAATTATTTATTAGGTGGAACAGTATTGCAGCTCCTGCTGGAAACCCTTGGTGCTGCTTCTGCTTAGCTTGTATTTAGCTTTACTTGGCATTTTATACAATAAAGGCTTCAGTATTTTTCTTCTAATTCATTACAAATAGTCCATACTACAGAAAGAGAATTGCAAAGTGTATTCAGGGGCAGCTTCTCTAAAACAGAGAAAGAAGGTAAAAATGGGTGTACTTTGGCAGGTAGGAAGGAGGTAGCAATGTGAAGGGGGGGATTTTCTGGGAACTGTGGAAATAAACATGTGGAATGTTAATGGCAATGAAGAAAAGGAAGGGGATAGATGGTTAAGATAGTGGGACTGTAGAAAAAATGGAAGTGGAATAGAGGAAAGGGTTAGTGAAGATGGAATGGAGATAGTCAAGACTGCTGCTCTGTTCCTACAGTTTCATGACTTTTATCTCTTTGGAGGGAAAGCAGAAGAGGGAAGATTGAAAGTCACATCATTAAGGACAGATTAAGGAAGAAAGAGGGGCCCCATAAGTAAAATATGTATGTTCTATCATTATAACTGCTTGAGTAGTTTGAGTAGCCTTGGATATATAAAGCAACTATTTGCTGAAAGGCATGGTTCTTACAAACTATTTTCTGTCGGGCTTTATTATCTTAGTTGTTGCTAATGATTTATCAAATTACTTTGATAACAAACAGTCTCTACAGAAAAGACTTGGTGTGTGAAGTCCATTCTGAGGTTTTATTTTTTTATAATAAGACCATATTTCCTGTTCACCCTGAGAAGAGATATTACCTTAAACTATCTTGGCTGTATTCTTCCATACCAAGCCCAAAGGTATTATGAAGGTCATCTCTTTGCTGCTGAGGTAGATAAGTATGACATTTACACTGTTAAAAATATAAACAGATATTAAAAGGTGTACCTTCTCCTTGGGTGCACAACTTGAGATTTGTTAGCTCCTGATATTAGAAGCAGCCATGAAAGTAATTAATGTCTGTGGGAACTGTGGGGGGTTTCTTCTCTGATTAGTTACCAATAGGTTTCCCAATTTAATCATTGTGAAATAGCTATGTTAAAGAAAATCCAGTGGCTAATTCATTAGTATACTGGGGTTTGTGCTGTTCAGCATCATTACATTAGGTTTGTCCCTGGCTTGATTTCACTTCCTGCATAAAATGACAGCAAGGATGTGTTTGGACCAGCCCTATGTACTTTTTTACAATAGGTAATGCATGTTCCAACAAATAGCATTGTGTGTCTATTGGACTTCATCACTCTGTTTACGCCTTTGAAAGAAATTACTAAACATTTTTTAATTATTATAATTACAGCCTGAAAGGTTCTTTGTCTGTTCCATGCCGTATATTATCCTGAGGTGAAGGGTGGAAGAGAGCAGAAGGGGAACTCATTAAAAGTCTGATTAAAATTCCATGTTGACACACGTGCAAAGAAATATATCTGACAAAATCCCACCACCATTTAAAACAATGGGAGCCCTGGAATTGATTTCAGTAGGGCTAGGATTTTACCCTGTTTGCAGGGGAAGACGCACGGGGCCCAGTTCTTCACCTGGGCTTTTCTGGAAGAAGTAGAATCAGGAAACAGCAATGGCCCCAGCACCGTTACAGGCAGCAGTACTGGTAGAAATGGGAACAGTTGAAATCAGTTTAGATATCTAGGTACTTAACCATGCAAATCCCAATGTTCAGATTAAGCTATTGGGTAAATATCAAAGTTACAGATGAATAACATGATTCCCACATGCATAGTGAAACCACAAAGTGATCTGAGCAGGTCATCTCAAGTTAAGTGCCAGAAAAGCTTTTATGCCAGAATGTCACATATTCTCTCTAAATAATTCATGACCTATAGGAAGAAAATTTTGTCACATTCAGAAAAATCTTCTTTTAAAAATGTTGCTGGTACTGTTTTTCACATCCTTTTTTCTGCAAATGCCTCAGCTGTTATGTTAGTACCAGGGATTTGCTTATATGATTCTCCTTTTACAAGAGGGAAATAACTAGTTAACATGAGAAGAACTTAAAAATCACCTGCAATAGATTTTCCATACATAAGAGCATCTTGATTTTAAGGTCAGAATCCTCTAAATCAGGAAGTAAACGCTATTATCAAATTAAAGACTTGGGAGAATCTCCCATTTCCTGACAGGCCAGGCAGTCAATTTCTAGTCCTTGAGTGGCTGGACCTTTCATCTGTCACTGATCCAGGGCTGAGCAGCATTGTTCACTCTGTTCCTGAGGTCAGGGCAATTTACAGGGGAGGAAGAAGGAAACATTTCTCTGGAAGGATTGTTATTTATTTATTTATTCTGCAAAACCTCAGAGGCTTGGAATGCCAACAGGCTGCCCAAAAGAGAGTGATTAACAGTCAAAATCACAGCAGGGTGATCAAAATCGGATTATATCTGACGTTGTGTGACATGCAAACTTATAGAGAGCAGCTCCTCTTAGAATCCCAGGTCATATTGCCCTGGAAGTTCTTCACCAGTCTTCCAGTCTTTTTCCCAGAAGCTGCAGGATTTCTGTGGGTGCTGCAGAGTGCATGCAGACAGCTGAGTTCCTGCATGCCCCTTGGCTGCCTCGGGGAGGAGAGACCCTAAAACACACTACCTCTTCCAGAGCACTGCCTAAAGCCTGCTCCCAGGAGCTCACTTTTGCATGCTGCTTTTTTTTCCTCCAGAAGTTGCACTAAAAGAAAAATCTTTGTAAAGCGTGAGAACACTGGAAACAATTTTATCTGGTATCAGATACCTTGGTCATCTTCCTTGGCTGCAAGGAGATCCCCACCTTGGGAGTACAAGGGCGTGCACAGGCAGTGAGAGTGGCAGTCCAGTGCTGCCAAGTGGGGAGCACAGACACTGGGAGCTTCCGGGATACTCTGGGCTTCCAGCTCAGTGCATGGCAAACTGTCCTGGAGTTGTATCCGCTGGAAACCTTCATGCTCTGGTGCACAGGGAGGTCATCCAGCCCATGTTTTTGGGAGAAGTCCCCTGAAACTACCACCACCACAGTGATAGTGGTGTCACTGTATTGGCTTAAGGACATAGGCCAGGTAAGGCTTGAAGGCAGAATTGGTTTTTGTTGGAGCAACTGCAAAAGTAGAAAAACTAGACAACCTTCAGGCAAACAAGCCATTCTCGATGTCTCCACTTCCATGAATTATTGTGGTTTGCATGGATCCTCTGTTTCAGTGCTAAATACTCCTCTCAAGAAAATTTCTGGCCACCTCTGGCAGAGGGGCACGAGGATGCCTTTTCTCCTTTCTCTGTCTCACATGAGAGTGAAATTATATTTTCTGGTTTTGTCACTGGGTAAAGATTAATTTTTAGCATAGTCATGAGTTGTAAGTAACTTACAGCCCAAGCGGTGGAACTTGGCTCTCAAACCTTTTGCAAACTTTGAGCATTTCTGGAATCACTGGTTAGGAATTTTGTGCAAGCGTTTTTTAATAAACCTGCCTGAAGTATAAATTTCTCTTGGTTTTGAAGAGCTCAGATACAGAGTTTGCTTCTTCCTGTCCCTAACTTCAGTGGCAAGTACATTTATCATGATTATGTGACAGAAAACTCGAACAGTCAATGTATTGGATTGATACTGTATGAAGGTACATTCCTTGCTTTGATGGAGATCTAGCAATTAAGACAAATATTTGTTCTTGAGATCTTGCAGCCTGTGATTGCTTTCTGCAGTACAATGATATGTTTTCTTTTATCACCATTTCTGATGACATAAACAAATGAAAGAAATAAACCTCTTGTGGGACTTTTTTTTTTACAACTTCTGTCTAACCTGTCTGCACACTGTTGTACACTATGCTTCCATCCAGTCTGTAGCTTGAGTTTCTTGGATATGGAAAATACATGTCTGATTCTTAAAAAAATATTTGTTAACAGGACATTTCCAAGTTCCCAGACAGAGATTATACAGTGCTGGGTGAAGGTGGAATCATTTTGAGTGGAGGCCAGCGAGCACGAATCTCACTAGCAAGGTATTTTTCTCTCAAAGTAGTGTTCTCTTTCATGTATAAGTAAAGCATTATGACTGAGTACTTTAATACATGTGGACCAAGTCTTGCTAAATAAATATCCTCCAGGTATATCAGGAACTTCATTTTACTGTCAGAGATTTGAATTTTGCCATGCAATTGTGTTTGTGATACACCTGCATATTTCTTTATTGAATTTTAAAAGTTCGATGTCAGATGCATGCTATGGCTTAGCTGAAGATGTATCTTCCCCTCCCTGATGCAAGTTGCCATTTGGAGATTCAGACCTTTAAGTGTAGCTTTCTAAGTACCGAAGAAACCCATACAAAGATATAAGTAAGAAGTGTTCCAGGATATTTCCCTGCTATGACACTTCTACTAAGTAGTTTATATACTGGTTAATGACACACTCCCTGTCTACAGGTAACAAAAATGAAAAAAATACCATGTTTCAGAAAATCTTGCTAGTAGTTTTGGTCTTTTTCTGTTGTAAAAAGAAAAAGTGGAAAGCAATGTCTAATCAGTACCTGTGAATAATGGTCTTGCCTTTTCTGTTTGACCTTCCAACGTTAGTAAGTAATTTCGGAGGGCTACAGAACAATAACATAGATGTTTGTCTTGTAAACTAGCTATGTGTTTCAGTGCAATCGCTTAGCTATTATCAGAAATTCAGTAATGACTGCTCTGATGTGTAAATGGCCCCATTTATTTCTGTGCCAAGTGCAAATTGTGCTGGTTCCCATGCTCAAAAACGCTGGGGAGAAGTAAAATCACATTATGGTGATCTACACTGACATCCCATAAAAGGTGTACGTGTCTGTGTGAGGCTAAAAGATGGTTTCCTTAAAACAGAGAGGCTTTCAGTGTGAATCTTTCTAGTGGATTTGTGAGAGGGAAGAGGTATATGGATGGTTCTGTTTTATGCAGTAAGATAAGGGAGGAGGGGAGGAGCAGGCAAAGCTTTCAGAGAAAAAAAAACCCAACCACTTAAATTTTCATTTAAAATGCAGTATTTATGTGAAGTATTTCCCAGATTCTATGAATAATCATGTCTGTCACTTTTCAGGTGGTCACAGCTCATTTACTGGAGGGTCACAGAACTGATACAATATGGTTATTGTCAGCTTTGTAATGGTTATTTTTAAAACAATTAAATGTCCCAAAGACAGTGGCTGTTATCTGCTTTACATTTGGTTTGCACTCCAGTCTAAGCTCAGCATGCTGCAAGATGCACAGGTGTTGAAGTGTGGGTTGCAGACGAAGATGTGAGAAAGCTAGAGGAGAAAATTTAGGATTACAACCCTGGATTGTACCCGTCTGCACTGTTGATAAGCTAGGTGTTACTTGCTTGGACTGGCTGCATACGTGTGTCTGCTGTACTCTGTGCAAAGTCATGTGAAATGAGAATCCCTGCTGGAAGTGCCATCAACCAGCCATCACGAGAAACAGATGGGGATTGCCTGAGTCCATCTTTCTTACACAGCTCTGTCAGTGCCTGCAGCTACAACTGGGGGAAAGAAAGGACGAAGGGAAAAAAAACAGTGCATGCCCTGGGTTTGAGCTAGCTCCCTGGTCCGGTACCCTAAAGCCAGTCATCTATAGCTACTAAGTCCAACATACAAATTGTAGCAATAATTTGAGTGCTACCATTATTCCAGGAAGAAACCTGCAAACTTTTTGCTGGTGAAAGTGCCAAGAACAGTACGAACTTTTATTTATTGTGCAGCCACTACATCATAACGTATGGTTATTGAAATCCATCATGACAGGATTTTTCAATAAAGTTCCTTAGTTTATTAACATAATATACTATTATTGAGGGCTTTTTCTCCTGGTGGTTAAGTATTTTCACATTGTTTAATATCATAATTTTAAAACTCATTGTTAAAGTACTTTAAAAAGTTACCATAATGCAGCTGTCCAAATTTTCTTTACTAATTATACCTTAATTCATATCGCATCATGATTTTCATACTCATGGAGGAAGGCAAGGGGCCCTTTTGAACATCTGTTGAAATTGATTTTAAAAAACCGATCTCTCAACCACTGGTTTATGTCTTAGTGAGCCATGTCCAGGCACACACAGCTTAAGGTGCTAATGCCACAAATAGTTTTTCATGTCCCAAACTCGAAATATTGTACAGTCCCATTTCAGATGTTTACAAGATCATGGCTCACTAATACAATTGTCTTTGCTCACCGGTTATTTCGAAGTACTTTTAAAACTAAGTGCTGAGACCTAAGTCTTTTCACACACTTATTTATGTATATGTAATATTCCTTCAGGCACCAGTAGGCGTTACAGTAGGTACTAAATTCCCATTTAAATGCTCATTGCACACCCACAGAGACTGTCAGATTCAGGCCATAAACAGATCTTTAGAGTAACCTGTGGAAAAAGCAGCTGGAAAAATAGCTTCCTTTGATTGCACAGAAATTAATAGAAAATGGAGTTAGTTTGTAATGTGATCTGCAGCAAGGAGAGGCTTTGTTGAAAGGTGTCTTATAAGCACATTTAACATTGAACTCCGGCTCCATATTGATGCTGTAGAAAAGTCTATCAATTACAAGTTTTTGAGACAAAATTGTAAAGGCATTCTTTTTAAATTATATTTATGTAGATTTATAAGACTTATGAAAGCTAATGTCATTTCCATTTTCTCTGTTCAGAGCAGTGTACAAAGATGCTGATTTGTATCTTCTGGATTCTCCTTTTGGACATTTAGACATTTTTACAGAAAAAGAGATATTTGAAAGGTACCGTATGTTTTGATAGATTGTATTTAAGAATCTCACCAAGCAGCACAAAGTAAAACCAAGATCAGAAATTTAATAACAGTACAAAAATACTGAAGTGATCAAAATTATACCTTTTGGGACTTTTTATTTTTAGGGATTCTCATAACTGAGTGTTTTGTGTTAGCAGTAGGACAGTGTACTGTGCTGGGACCAAGCCTGGGCCAGGAGTAAGCATTACTGCTCCCTCTTGCATCTCAACATATTGAGCTTGATATAATCTATTGATGACAGAGTGCATGGCTTTATATCTGGTGTGTCTGTGTACTAGAAAGTGTTTAATGTTAAAACACTTCCCTTCTTTGTGAGTATAATTTTTTACAAAAAGCTATATTTTGTCTTGTTTTTCTCATCACTGAAAGACTGGTCACCTGAAAGTACCCACTAACCAAGAGATTGGCAGCAGGTTGGCCAAAGGCAAGGAATTTTGGCTTGTCCTGATGGTGTAGCTCAAAACCATAGGACACACACTGCCATTCCATGAGCTTTTCAGTCACCATAAGTGACTAATACTTTTAAGCTTGGTAGCAAAAGATTTAAGTAACCCTAAGATGAAGAGAAATGTTTCATTTTCATGTTGAACTGAGATCTTTGGATTGACCTGAAAATCATTAAATTTCCCCCCTTTTTTTGGTTCCTCCGATAAAGTACTCACCCTTTACACATCTCAGCCGTACCACCTCCTTTGTAGTTTGAGGGAGCACCAAAGACTGCTTGTACTGGGAGTGGGGGGAGGTAAAGGCAAATAGATTGAAGGTGAAAGGGATAAAAGGAACATTTAATCATGAAGAAAAAAATCTAATTTTTAACACTTTCATCTTTTATAGCTGTGTGTGCAAGTTGATGGCAAATAAAACTAGGATCTTGGTTACTTCAAAACTGGAACATTTAAAGATTGCGGACAAAATATTAATTTTACATGAAGGGAGTTGTTATTTCTATGGAACATTTTCTGAACTTCAGGGTCAACGACCAGACTTCAGCTCAGAGCTGATGGGGTTTGATTCTTTTGATCAGTTCAGTGCAGAGAGAAGAAATTCAATTCTAACTGAGACTCTCCGTCGATTTTCCATTGAAGGAGAAGGAATGGGATCACGAAATGAAATAAAGAAGCAATCTTTTAAACAAACATCAGATTTTAATGACAAAAGGAAGAACTCCATAATTATTAACCCCCTTAATGCAAATAGGAAGTTCTCAGTAGTGCAGAAGAATGGGATGCAGGTCAATGGGATAGAAGATGGCCACAATGACCCACCAGAAAGGAGGCTCTCGCTGGTACCTGACTTGGAACAGGGAGACGTAGGTCTGCTTCGGAGTAACATGCTGAACGCTGACCATATGCTGCAAGCTCGGAGGAGGCAATCTGTGTTAAACCTGATGACGGGCACCTCTGTGAGCTATGGACCAAACTTTTCCAAAAAGGGAAGTACAACATTTCGGAAAATGTCTATGGTGCCTCAGACAAACCTGTCTTCTGACATAGATATCTACACAAGGCGTCTGTCTCGAGACAGTGTCTTAGACATAACTGATGAAATCAATGAAGAGGATTTGAAGGTATGGGTTCATTTGCATTTATCTTGGGTTTTGATATGGTGATAGTTTAGCGCAATATCCTCATATATTTTTGTATTTGACTGTGTCATTCCTAATGCAGTACTTCTCTGTGGGATAGCTTTTTGGAATATCTGTGAATGTGAATATTTATTAACTCAAATATCATCTTGAAATCACTGAAATCCTCAAAAATTTTGCCTGATTTTTTAATGGTTCCTGAATGCTGTCTGTAGGGAATTTCAATACAGAATTTTATCTCCTGCACTTTTCCTTTAAGATTACTTATGCTAAAATGAAATTTGAAACCATAACAATGAAAAACATTGTTTTAAAACATTTATGTAAAATCGACTTTTGAAATGTTAAGGCTTATGGAAATACTAGCACAGTCTTTAAAACTGGAATTTGATCAAATTTGGTGAAATTGTCACACTGCTTAGCTTGTATGTTGTGATACAGGTAATGAATAAAGGAGTAAACTGGACTTGACTCTGTTTTTATGGGTGTGCTAGAAATTATGCAATTAAGGTTGAGTTTTATACCAAGAACTGGACCAAAATTCCTTTTTTCTAGTAACTATCAACTGGTTGTGATGAACTACTTTCATTTTCAAAACTGGCAGCTGATTTTCACAGGGTAGGAAAATTTTCTGAAGTAGTTTCTAGGTGGAAAAAAGTCTACAAGAAATATTTAAACACATAATTTGCTGAAGCACTACCCATTTTTGTTTTTCTTTATTGATCTCAGAAGAAAAAAAACCCTCAGAGTATTTACAAATTTACTCTAACAGCACAATAATAATCTTCATTGAAAGAAAGTAGCTATTGATTAACCATTTCTGGGCTTCCAGTAGTGCTGGACAAATCTTGTTTCTTTCAGTGTTGTCTGAAAATTTCAAGTAATGTCTAAACAGTGTTATATCAAAGATGACTCAACCAGTCAGTACCTTCCTGTCCAGCCTTTATCAGCCAATTTGAATGATGCACTTCAATTATTTGGAGTGAGTTAGCAGAAGGAATGGCAGCATTCATGTGTCATAAATTCTCATATATAGATACTGCCATTCTTACTATGGTCTTATCAATTCTTTTGACAGGAATGCTTCACTGATGATGCTGAAAGCATGGGTACTGTTACCACATGGAACACCTATTTTAGATACATTACCATCCACAAAAACTTGATTTTTGTTCTAATTTTGTGTGTGACTGTCTTCTTAGTTGAGGTAAGAAAATCTACACTTGATGTCATGTTGCTACAAATGACGTTTGTTTGAACTGTGTTCTTTGTGATAAAAGGATAAATGGATAAAGCATCAAGACATTAGCTCATGTATGTATCGCTTATTGGCAACTGCTGTTAAATGATATTGCAAAGACTTTTATACTGTTGAGATGAACATATCTCACCAAAGGTAGTGACTGGTGAGACCCACCTTCTCAAATTATCTTGGTTATTTTCTGATGTGTGGTACCATAAATAGGAGTTGTTGCCCTATGCAGGTGTCTTGTTCAAAGGTGAATAATCTTCCATTTTCCATTAAAAGATATCTTTGCAGAGCCTTGGCGGGTTAACAACAATAATTACTAGATTTTTTTTGATGAACACATACATAAATTCTGGAGAATTGCTTTCATGAATGAGTTAGTAGCTTTGCTCTTAGTGAAAGAAGAGTGGTGAGTAAGGCAGAGAGCTGAATGCCTATGACACCATTTAAAGATGGACGGAGTGTTCCTGCAGTGGACAGAGAATACTTTTTCCAAGTATAGTGGAAAACACTGTCAGAAGTGCTGAAAAACATCTGCCTGATCATGCAAGTCCGACTATTTTTCTTATAACAGAAATTGCCTGCTTTTTGCCTGATTCCCAATTTAGTAAAGACTTTTAGCATACATACAGAATCTCATAGTGTCCTCTTTTACAATTAATATCCTAAATCAAGGGGTTTTCTGAGGGAAGGAACATGTTTCAGAGACAAGACTGGGAGATGAATGAGACTGTGTTCATATGTCAACTTATAAAATATGATACCAATTTCTCTTGGCATTTTGCAACCTGAACTGAGATAAGAGAAGAATATATTAGGAATATAGGACTACTTTCTGGCTCATTGTGTGAGTGAAAGGCTTTTAGCAGTTCTGTGGTGGCATTCGAACTTCTAGTATCATCAAACCTGGAGAAGGATATGATTGATAGTGTCCTGAATTTACACTAATGTCATGTTGCAGGTGATTTGAATTAGTTCTTTTGGACCAGGAATAAAGCCTGGAGCTTAGATCTAGTTTGAGATACCAAATTTTTAAACCACCTCCATTAGCAAGACGGTATTTAGATGTGTAGCTGTTCTTACCATGTAAGTTTTATTTTCATGGTAGTGCAAAATGGTTGTGTAAACCTACAACAGCAAAGCTGAGTTGT